ACACAGGTGGGTCTTTTTGTTCTTAGATTTTGTTAGACTAGACTGGTAAAGACTGGAATTATTTCAGCTTAATGAATGCATTTATTAATTAGACACAGGAATATTCTGTTTGATAGTGAAATTAAATTCTGCTTCAGAGAACAAAATCCTCAATTTTTATCTCATTCTTTTTGCAATTGCAGGAACCTGTGCAACCACAAGCAAAGTTGCAAAATGTATTCATATAAGGCAACATGAAACCTATGTGAGTCAAAGGTGGAAGCCAAACTATAACAAACCCAAAGTAAGTGCAACTTATATACAAGTACATACAGTTTGTAAGCATAAAAAAATGGAATATTCACATATGCTTTTTTTTGAGAGAGAGAGAAAAAAGAAGAAGCCCTTTTCCTTTTCATTACCATTCCTTCAGTGACTCAAAGACAGATGTGTTTTGCTCTGTGGTTTTCTTGAATAAGTTCCAAATTTACAATCAAGTTTCCACTGATATTCCAATATTTATATGATGAATGGCATAATAAAAAAATATAATCAAAATAATACTTATCTGTCTATAAAACTACAGGATGTGAATGAGAATTTTATTTTTCTATTTCTTAGAATCAAAAATATATATATATATATATATATATACGTTCCTGATGAATGCTATGGGTATGAAACTCTGAACAGTGAGGAACAAATATATTTTTATTTTTTGTATAAATTTTAGGTCTGTTATTTTACATTCAGCACTGTTTCAATACCACCAGGACTCACTGTGCACTATTATATAATTATTACTATTATAATGGCAGTAAAGGTCAAGGAGGAGAGGTCAGACTGAACACAACACCCAAAGGCCCCAACAGCAGAATAGGCAAATATCTACACAATCTCAGTGACCAAACCATAAGGTGAACCTTAACAGACCAAGTATCCGACAGCCCAATGCAACCAAGTTTGCTAGATCTTAGCTGTCTCAATCCCCTTCGAGTTATGAAGGAGGTGGTTCTGGCCAAGTATGTGGGCTTCACTATGCAGATTTGGCCACCAAAATCAAATTCATGTGAATGTCCTCATCAAACTCTCTGACTACTCTTCAGGAGTAAGCCGGACCATCACAGTCATCTCTGAGGGGAGAAAGAGAATAAGGAGAGAGGATGATGGTGCTTGGATGTGAGTGGGTGCTAACTACTACTACTACTACTATTACGTAAAACTCACTGAGAAGGACAATAAAGTAATACATTCCAAAATCTAACAGTCCCAGTCACATCCTAAGCTATATGAATAATAAAATCCAAGTCTGTTTTACCTTTGACATCCTTTGCCTTTATGGTTATAAAGTTTTAGCCCCACATATCATAACAATCTCAAAGTGTGTGTGTGCATACATACACACACGCTCTATGGATTAGTTATGATATAAACAATATGGACATAGAATCAAAATTGCATGGTGACTGGCAATTTTATAGTTAATGGTCATTAGACCATTACTACTTCTTGTGCAGGCTCTATCTCTCTCTCCACACACAGCCAACCATGTCAAGAAAGTTAAGACCCCATCTCCACAAGGAAACTGTCTCTTTCAATATATTTCAAATATGGACATTTCATCTTCATTTTAACATTAGAAATAAATAAAACGGAAAATATTTTCTTAAACTATTTGGAAGCCTTCCTTAATAGAAATGGAATTTTCTTATGAGGAAAAAATTAGGACCCCCACCTCAATATGTATTGCTAATTATGCCTTAAATGAGAATCATGTGCACTACATCAGAAGCAAATGATAATAACACCGTTAAAGAAGATTTTGGAGGAGATGGTCTTATTTAGACCTCAGACATTTAGTTTGATTTAATTTTTTTTTAAGTGAGTAGCATCACTATGGGAGATTAAAAGAGCTCTTTGAGGTCTTCAAAAAGAAGAAGCAGATGAGTCTGTGAAGGGACTTAAAAAGATCTCTAAGTAATTAAAAATCCGTCATTCCAGTGTCCAAGAAATAATTTATAAGTGGAAGACATTTAAATCAACTGTCAACATGCCCAGGTCAGGTTATCCTAGAAAGTTCAACTCAAGAGCAGGCAACAAGATGCTTGAAGAAATCGCAGATAATCCTAAAACATTATCATGGTACCTTGAGGTACTTGTGCCACATCTATGTTGAATTACATGCATCTACTATTAGAAAAAGATTATACAAGTTTAATTTGCATAGGTGATGTGCAAGGAAGAAACGCTTACTTTAAAAAAATTAAGGCAAAACTAAAGTGTAACAGAACAGCTAGAGAAAGACCAGGACTCCTGGAAAAATGTGCTTTGGACAGATGAATCCAAAATAAAATTATTAGGGCCCAATAACAGAAGGCAAGTTTGCTCATTTGAGCACAAGAACCTCAGCAATTTTTAAGTATAGGCATGGAAATATCTTGGTTTGGGGCTGTTTCGCTGCAGTAGGGTTTGGTCAACTCCCCATAATAGAATCCACTATAATTTTTTTTTATTGTACCAGAGAGTAATTGAGAAAAGTGTAATGTCATTTGTCAGAAAATTGAAGCTGAAGCAAATGTGGATCATGCAATATGACAATGATCCAGTCAATCTACCAAGGAATGGCCCAGAAGAAACAAGTTGAGATTTCTAGAATGGCCAAGTAAAAGCCCAGATTTTAAGCTTATGAAGATGCTCAGCACTTTTGAAATGGGTTGTGCATGCAAGAAAATGTTCAAGCATCATACAGCTGAAGAAATTTTGCATGGAAAAGCAAGATAAATGTTCTCTGAACTAATGTCAGGAGATTGGAAGACAGTTACAGGAAATTCTCAAGGTTATTTCAGCTAAAGAGGGTAATAGGGGGCTCTAATTTTTTCCTCAACAGGAATTGGTGTCTAAATATCTAAATAAATGATAAAGCAACTTTTTCCACTTTTTGTTCCATTACAGCATTTGCACCTACATATATAGGTGCACATGTATGAATCCACACATACATTATGAAAAAAAGAGAGAGAGAGAGCACCAATGAAAAGTGCATATAAAAAAAGAAAGATTGAGAAGTAATCAATTGCTGATACTCCCTGACAAGTGGACAAAGTAATTCTCAGAGTGCCCATCTACGAAACTCTCTAGTTGGTATGCTTAAGGTAACATCAATCAGCTAATCAATTAATTCTATTATATATATATATATATATATATATATATATATATATATATGTGTGTGTGTCTGTATGCCAAACATGTTAAATACTTGTTTAAAAAATTCTCATTTTCTTTCAATGGCAAAAAACCCTGATTTTTTTTTTTGTTTGTTTACAAATGACTCAAAACTTATATAACTTTTGGAAAATGAAATAACTAAATATAAGCAACTATATACGTGGGTGCTGGTTTGTATACACAGGTAAGCAAATAAATAATTACCAAATTTTGCCAAGAGGTGTAAACATAAAAGTGCTTGATGTGGTTAGAGAGAGCCAGGAAATAAGATATAGATCTATACACGCACACACACACGTGTGTGTGTGTGCTACTGGGGACTGATGGGAAGAGGAAGGAGAAAAATGTTTCTGTTTTGTTTTAGAGATAATGTTTTTAAATTACTTATAGTTCTGATCTTGAGTTTGTTAATCTTATTTATTTAGTATTTCATTGTACTTTAGCATTTTATTTGATCAGTTTTTGTATACTTTTATCAATTCTGAAGTTTGGTATTTGCTTTAAAAAATTGAATTTTAGGTTATAGGTTGTTAGAAGTTTAATCTTTAAAGTCATGCTGTGTTTGCAAATAGCATAGTAGGAATTTGTTTTACATGTCTGCATTTGGAAATACATCCCGATCTTTTGGTTTGGTTTGTTTTGTTTTACAGTAAATCAACGTCAATCCTGATCTTTTGTTTAGGAGTTTATATTGTTTAGATCTACAAGTGCTTTATTCCCAATATTGAACAATTTTCCCTCACAAATGTAGCAAATTTCAAATTATATATCACACTTTATTTTTATTTTATTAACCAGAACTATTGAAATAACGTTTCTGGTTAACTTATGACAAAGAATATTCAACCTGGTTTTCTGGATTAAAAGAAAACTGTTTCTGTAAAACTAAAGAAAATATATATCTGCTAGTTAAACAACAGTATTTTAAAATGTTCTTATTTTTTTAATATCATAAAAGTTAATAATATTAATCTCAAATATTACTGAGCCGGTTAAAATTCAAAGTTTATTCTTTACAAACAATGTTTTAATATAAGCTTGCAGGACCTGTGTAAACTACATGGATAAATATTTTTAATCTTGCACTTTACAAGCCAAGACCATTCTCAGATAGTCATTTTTCCTATAACTATCTCTTAAAAATGCTGAAATTTCTTCAGCAGATCATTACATCATGAAACATGATTTAACACCTCCCTACAAGCAACTGCCTTTGTCTAAAATGACTACTCCCCAATCCTTCCTAGAGTTACTCTTTTTGTCTCTCTTTGTCCCTTTCTCTGTGTTTCTCCTCTCAGATAACCAACACAGTCTGGGCTCCCTCAGTCTGTAACAAATTTGTAAAAATAACATTTATTTTAAAATTTCAATAGGCCACAGATCACAAAAAACTGCAACCTTTATATAAGATGACCTCCACTCAAATCCCCCTCTATATCACACTTTCATTTTGCTTCTCTCTCTCCTTCTTGGTATCTGTGATACCAAATGTGACACACACACCATACATAACATTAATATATTTATACATATATATTTTACAAAACATTTGATTAGTAAACAATGAAAAAAAGATTCATGAATACTTTTTAAGAATACACTACTCTATAGTCAAAACAGAAGGATGATCCATTCACAATTCAATACTTATCCAATTTGTTTGCCTAAATGAAATTGTGGCTCATACAAGGACAAAATGGGAGAATAAAAAAAAAAAAAGAAAAAAAAAAGATGTGGACAGTAGATGTCTAGCCCCCATCTCTCAATTTTTGTTATTTTGTTTTTTGGCTCACCTTTACAAGGTAATAATTTTTCTTTTTTCTGTGGCTTATGACAAGCAATTTTGTTGCAACAGTTTGGAAAAGCCATGGTACCAGGCATGGAATTTGGCGCTGGGCCGTCACTACTGGGAGTAGTAGTAGCAGTAGAGGCAACAGCCTGAGCAGTAATGGGAGATGCACTTGGACCAGCATCTTTTAACGTTCCATTCGTGATGCTAGCTTTGGCATTCCCCTGATTTGTGTTTGTAGGATTATTGTTGTTGCTATTGTTATTATTGTTATTAGTGTTGTTGTTGTTGCTGCTGCTGCTGTTAGAAGAAGAAGGCTTCTTGACAGGGAGTTTCTCCGGCATTCGTTCCACTTTAACCACTGGCATGGCATGGTTTTTCTCTTTGCTCGGGGAGGCATTGACTTTAGAGTTGTAAGGTGGAGAGACGGTGCTTAATAAGGATGATGGCAGTTGCTTCACACTGGCTTTTGAGCGGAACTTGGATGATGGACATATTCGCATACAGTTCTTGGGATATTTCTCTCCATGACGTATCTCTGCAAAGAAGAAAAAGAAATAAATGTCACTTGACAATGATAGAATTTTGAAGCAAATAATTTGTTAATAGGAAAAAAAAAAAAAAAAAAAAAAAAAAAAAAGGGACAAACAATGGGAATCAAGAGAAAAAAAAAGGTGTGTAACTTGTTAGATCAATTATTAATGAAACTTCGCTAAAATCAGAAAAAAAAAAAAAAAATATTAAGACTCATAACAGTGACAAATTTCTACAGTTTTTTTTTCTTCTCTCCAAGACAGGGATATTTATGAAATATGCAAAAATTTTTTTAGCTATTATTAAAAATTAACAGGCTATTTCTCTTGGACAAAGAATAATGACCGAGTGTTGGTTAAAATATATCTGGTTTCCTAGCAGTTGTGAGTTCAATCCTTGGGTCTGGTCATGCTGAAAAGTCACTTTCTGGTTCAATTGATGAATGTGATAAATGACAAAGGTGAAAGATATTTTGTAAGGAAGTGGAAAATGCAAACTATCCATCTCCATGGGTTGAATAAAAAGTTTAGTTCAAAATTTCAAGACTACCAAGTACAATGAAGGCCAGAGTGCACAGTGGCTAAAACACTGTGGGTATAACAACCAAGATGAGCCTGTTGATCTGAATAACAAAAGGTAATAGCTCATCTCACAGATTTCAACATAAGACATCAAATAAATAAAATGAATCTCTAGTAGTATAACCAATTCATGTTTACATTTTTAAAAAAATGACTTATATAGAAACAGGAAATGATCTCAAATTTGAACTATCTAAGATTGACTGATTTGTTTTTTTATGGCTTATCAACCTTTTGAAGGTTATTTAAAGACAAAAAATACTTTAAAATTTTAAGAATTTTTTACCTTTTACTGATACATGCCTTACTAATTAACTGATAATTTGCATTGGAAGAGGTGGATTCATACCGTTCCCAAGAGTTTTTATGCACAAATGAATATAATGAATCCAATTGGAATTGGGGCTTGATCTAGGATTTCCAATTCCATTTAGTTATCCATTACACCATTGGCACATTTGAGCTAACAACACATGGTATTCTAAAGTGGTCACCCATCTAGATACTGATGAAGTTTGGCACTGCTTAACTTTGGTGATCATACTCAAACCAGTGTTTCAACATGACATGGCTATAAGCCCTATCCATTTAAGGATATCCGTTTATTAATTATACAAATAATTATGATAATGTCAAATTTAGTTGAATTAAAGTTATAAAAAATATAACTGAACTTAGGAAATACAAACAAATGTATTTCACTGCATGAAGATGTTGCTTTATAAATTAAAGCAAGTTAACCTGCTCCAATCAAGCTTTTAAATTCTTAAATAATTTATAATTAAGCTGTCATTTATGTTTGGCATTGCATTGAGACATAAAACAATAAATGAATTGCATTCATCTTGGTAAATAAATGAAACCGGAGTCCCTGGAGCAATCAATATTGTGTGCACATCTAATGACAATTTGATGACTGGTGGGTTAGGAGTTAGTTTAGTCAACAAGTAGTCTGCATCATTACAACTTTCTCCATTATCCTATTACAAGTTTTAACATAAACAACCAGTAGTTATTATGGGGTCAACTTTGTTTTGAAACATTTTAACATTGAAAGTAAACAGAATAGGATCTGTAAACTGATTCATAAGAGAGACAGGAGATTACAGAAAGTCCATGTAATGCATGCATCAATACAATTATCTTCTTAGGTTAATGCATCTAAAAGAAAAGGAAATATAGTTAAACTTAAAAGAAAAATATCTATATATTGTATTGTAATAGTCATATGGGTTATATATTTTGACACAATCTTGAAAACAGTTTGACAATGGCACTGATATTCAGAGAACTTAAAATGATTACTTATTCTAGTGCATCATTTTACTTACAATTATTGCCACATGATGCAAATAATAGTGTATTATTTAAATAAATTAGCTGTATATAATCAAAAGTGCCTTTTTATAACCATCTGTCACTTTTATTGCTAAGACTTTTTTTTTTAGTAATTAGTAATCATTCTAAGTAATACAGTTAATTGAAACAAGTGTTGTGTAATTTATTTCATTTAACAAAGTGTTGCAACACAAATAGTGGCATCAACTGTTGAAGGTTTATGTGAGTGATATCTAAAAGGATCATTTTGAGATTTCCAATGTCAGCATGAAAAACATGAGAATGATGGAGACATTGAAAGTGAATATATAATTGGACAATAGAGATATCGGTAAAAATGTTTGTTTGTTTTTTTTTAAATCATTTAACTCCAAACAAGGTGATAAAGCCAATAAAATACAAGGAGCTACTTAGTGTGAAAGAATGAGAAAAAAACTTTATTAAGGAGAGAGAACAATAAAAGTACAGGAATTAAGGAAATAGAAGATGATTGATACATTTAAGCTTTTGAAGATTGAGTGGAAAGCAAGAAGTACAAGAGAAAAAACTGTTAGCACAGAACTTATAGTTACATCTAGACATTTCAACTGTAAAATGATGAGACCTAACTACCAATCTAGTACTGTGTTTAAATTCTTAAAGTTGAAGTACCAAAGAGGAAAGCTCATCAGAACAATTACCATGAAAATATTGATAGAAGAAGCACACAGAAGCTACATTATGGCAGTGGGAAAATGACTGAAGTTAAGAATCTGTAATGGTATCAGGACTGATAACACTGCAGGTTCTTCTTTGGATTTTATCAAGAATCTCCAGATACAAAGCAAAAGTACCAAACAAGATATGGCAGCAATATTCAATGCATAGATGAATGGTGTAAGATAGATTCTGGCGAGAAATATTGTCTGGCACAACATAGTAAACCAACTTCCCTAGCAGCAGCCCTAGCAATGGATTCAATATAGTTATTCCACTTCATGTCAGTGGAAAATGTTAGCCCGAGAAGGTACAATGCGTCACTCTTCTGGAGGTTAGCATCAGCCCTGCTGATGGAAGGCAGAAAAGGTTCTCAAAGATGATCAAAAGAGGAGTTTCATTTTGGAGGTGTTAAAAATAAACAAGAAATGTCCAGTAGGAAACAAAGAAGAAAAAAAAAAAAAAAAAAAAAGAAAGAAAAAAAAGTGTCTCAAAAGTAATCAGTAATAGGATACCTGAAGTTATTCACATAGTAAAAAAAAAAATAATAATAAAGATACAAACAAGATGTTTTCTTAATTAGCAAAAAAAAAAAAAAAAAAAGGAAAGAAAAAAAGTCTTAAATCTCAGAAAGAATTTAGTAATTTGTATTCAAGAATGAACACTGTTTAGAAATAAGTGATAAATTAAAAACATCCCATATTTTATAAAAAAACTTGTGATAATTGTATAAAAGGAATAGATTCTTAATAATTCAAATTTAATTGATACAGAAAGGAAAAATAATTGAAATTGCCATTGAAGTTTTAGAATCTGATTAAAGGATTTTATAAATTGAGATAAAAAAAAAAGCAATAGAGAAACAATCACACTCATACTGATGAATTTAAAAAAAAAAAAAAAAAAAAATTTACAAAATGGATACGAATGTCAAATGAATTTTGCTTAAATGAAGAAAAAGATAGCATTTCTGCTTTAAATATTATGTGTGGATAGAGAAAGAATAGAGCTGATAAGTTAATCTAACTAAATGGAATATATTAGCTATGAACAAGAAGGGCATCAGGCTGTAAAAATATTTACTCTTAAAATGAGGAGGAAACTGACCCCCAGAAAAAAAGATTATGTTGAGGAAAGAGAGTGTAACTGCAATGAGACAAATGTTTGTGTTCAACACATTCTAGAAATGTGGCCTGTGATGGTTGAAAAGCATAAATTAGCAGAAAATCTGAGGCAAGGAGGAATAATGTGTGATGAGGCAAGGTCAGTGTTTAGAGAGAGTGAGTATGTGTGTTTGTACAGGAAGGAGAGAGATAGTCTGAAAAAAGTGTTTGGGGAGGAGAACCATGCTGATGAGCAGAACAGGGGAAAGAAGCAAACAAAACATTGACTGATATTAACTCTTCCAAACAACCACACTTCTCCCTCCCAAAATATGGTCAGCCTTTGACACTGACCATCTATCTTGGGGTGTGTGCGTGTGAAGTGAAAGAAAAATACAAGAAAATAAATATGTGGACTTAAGGAGTTAAAAACTATACAAGCATTTACAATGCCACATCAAGTTTGTTGGTTGGTGGAGGCTACACGCAAACAAATAAAAGAGTAAAAAAAAAAAAAAAACAATAAAAATTAGATAGCTCAGTGGGGGGGGGGGGCAGATACATATTCTGAGAATAATAATTCAAACAAAAGTTATTTGTATATTTAAAAATCCAACTTGACAAAATAGTATATATGAGAGAAATATTCAACTAAGATATACATTATTACAATAATACGATACACAAAAATTTTAAATATCTGATTAGCTTTCTTGATAGCAAAATGGCAAAACTAATAATTGATAATTAAAATTTTAATTTATAATATTACTTAATCACAGTAAATATCAAGTAAATATCAAATTAATCTTTTTAGATCAAGAAAACTGAAAATCAAATTTTACAGTGGTTCATGTTTATAAACACTTTTTGAATATGTCTGGTCATTTTTTTCAAATTTTGATTAGATGAAACATTGTTGAACCTTTATTTATTTTTGATTAGCAATTACTTTCATCTTAAATACTTTTATCATAACTTGAACTAATAATTAAGATAAAAGTAAATACTAGTCAAATGATAATGATAATTATACCTATTCTTTAGCAATAATACCTAAAATAAAACAACCCAAAATTTGAATTAAATTAAAACATTTCAAAGATTACAATTTGCATTTTTACTGTTTATGCTGAATAAGAACATTAAAATTAAAATCTGTTGTAAAAATAAGTAATTGGGTGAAAAAAGTTTAATGCTCAAGTAAAACTACAGAAAACTGTAAACTTAATATAAAAGATTGATTAACAAGTTGCCACCTGTGCAGGAATTGATAGAATTTAAGA